AGTGGTATTAATGAACAGTCCTAGTAGACACTTCACTCAAACAGCGATAAGGAAATATATCCAGTCGTAAAGGGATATTCAATGTATTATTAATAGACAATGGAAACCATCTACAGAAAGAGTTGGGCAGCTGGCTTACTGAAATCGGATGCCGTCATCTAATCACAGCCCCACGACGTCCTCAGTCTAACAGTATAACATAAAATTCCATCCGAACTTCAAAGAGAGCTTCAGTGGATTCAAGCAATCTAGAAGAGTCAGAAAAATGCATCAATAATTCCTTGCTTCATTATCGTAATGCAGAACATTCAAGAACTCATGACAGTCTGGTTAAACTCTTCAAATCAAACACATTTGGTGAACAAAATATCAGAAGTACAATTTTACCAAAGAAATTACTACCGACCATCTGCGTGGATTATATTTCAGAGAATGGGTAATCCGGATGGCAGAGATTCTTGACTCGAATGATCATTCAGTTCACAGCAGACCCTTAGACCAAGTGAAGATTAATGAAATTGGTGATTCCAACCATAATTCTGATTATTCTCTAACTAACTCTAATTCTGAACTTCAAATAGTTCCAATCTTAATTCCAATGATTTTCCTGTCGCCAACGACCCTTTAAATAATTCCAAATCGCAGATTGAAGAGAATAAAAATCTAATTGCTGGACAGTTGAGATCTAACAGAATTGCAACTAAACTCAGACTACATTATGAACACGTAGACCAAAAACCAACGTATGGTGAGTGTGGTAACTAACAATTTTTCTGTGCAGTTAAACATTTTCGTTGTGTTTAAACACATCATAACAACTTAATACAATTTCATACTGTGTACTTCGAATTTTAGTTCTTGATTGTGTCTTGTCAAAGATCTAGACTCATTAGGATCAGTACCATTTCGTCATATTGTTTCGCCGCTTTTCAAACGACGTTTTAGGGACCGAGCTTTTAAAATCACGCTAAACGTCATCTTCATTGAACTCATGTCTCCTCAAAAGCTGCGCCAAAGACATCACTAAGGTCTATGTCAAAATCTGTGCTTACGAGAAATCAGGATTAAGGAGTAACGAAATTACAACTACAAGCACAATCCGTATCATTATTCACCGTTCAGTTTATGCTCAAATCTTCTACTTTGAAGTATCTCGTTAAAACAGTAGACATTTTTTCACTATTTAGACAAAAATACGTATATGAACGTGAAGAAAAGCCCCACATAACAGTTCAACTTTGAGGGGTGAAAGGTTATATACCTTAGGAATTATGATGGGAAAAAAGGAGCAGTGACGCAGAACACACCTAGATGCGCTTTCATATTATAGCCACTGAGGTGAAGGGTAAAACACTAGCAACACTATAAACCTGCATTTTACTGACACGTTAGATCGATCTACCACCAACTCTAAGATATCGTTTACGGAGTTAGAACGAACTGACTGCTTATAGAGTAAAATGTAACCATACTTCATACGACACCGTGTTATAAACTATCTCTTGTGTCTCTAGCAGCAGCACTGATCAGTTTAGAAGCCAACGTGCAGATTGTCTGGATTAGAAGGATAACCAAACTTATCTCTGTCATAATAAGTCCCATGTCAGGATTACAAAGTTTTATTGGATAAGAACAATAATGTGGAGTAACGCAAAACCCAATGAAAACAGCCGTTGAAAATCCCCACCTCTAAGGCCAAGTTTCGCATGTATTTTACATTCAACCTCTTCAAACTAACACTACGATTGGGTTTAGAGATTACATATTAACACTCGTTACTCAGCTTGTAACCATGCAAGGAATCTTTTCTAGAACTTCATTCCACAGTTTCTCTGATGCATATAGATGCATATCTAAAGGCTAGTAGTAATACCCGACCGTTGCTGCTAACTAGACGTGGTGATCGGGCTTGCCTATCGTAATTAACCAGTCGCACTATACTGGCTGGAACAATCGTTCCTCAATGTCCTACCATGCCAGATAGGTCGGTTGAAGACTAAAAGCAGCAACCCAAGGTCAGAAGGCGAAGTCATACTGCTGACTGTACAGAGTTGTGACGGCAGTAAGGTGTTTCCTTCACACAACCAGCATAACAGGGATGGTGCCTTCACATAAGGAAATGTGGGGTTAAAAAATTACACCCTAAAAATGCACACCTCACCTTATATCCGGTGGTGAGGTTCCGACAAGTACCGAGCTAACATGAAAATTACTCACTAAAAAGTCGTGTGACTGACCTCAAGTAGTTGTCCCTTGGGCACGGCAGTCACGCTCTCAGGTCACTAAGACCTTTTAATTTCCTTTTCAGGTACCTCCAGAAGAACCCTTGCACGGTGTGGGCGACCGGTAAGTAATAACTGCCGTCATACCTCCAGCAACACTCAAGATCATTATATTCGTGACCAGTGTCCCTCTTCAATTTCTATTATTCCTCATGCGTCGACTTTCAACTCTTAATTTCCTCCTCAAGTGTCACCGTGGTCAATGATTCTAGTGCGCGAAACACTATCCCAAGTCTACTAAAACGTCGCTCCAAACTACACGTTGGAGCCTTCAACGTACTCACCCGATGTCAAATGGGCCAACAGGCCTCCTTGGCTAAAACCCTACAATCTCATACGATTGATGTATGCTGTCTCCGAAACACGCATACAGGATCCTAGTGTTGTTATTTACTTGACCTCACCTCGTCAAAACAGAAAGCCGACGAGATACACCCTCTGTGTATCTGGCAAGCCGATGGCTACTTCTCGTGGACTGGTAGGTGTAGGCATAGCCCTAAGTAGGAGGGCAGAACAAGCACTATTAGAATGAGTACCTGTTAACAGTCGCCTGTATGCTGTTCGACTGAACAGCTCCGTAAAAACTTGGAAAAATATAGACACATAGTTGCCTTTACGTCGTTTCTGCCCACGCTTCCACTGGCTGCAGCCTGGATGAAGCGAAAGATGACTTTTACAGAAAGCTTCCTGAACCTCTTCAGAAGGTTAAACACTCAGACATAGTACTCATAGCATGTGACCTTAATGCCCAAATAGGTAGCTTAAACCAAACAGAGACATTTAGGTGGGTATTTTAGTATTCTGGATCAGCGAACAGAGAATGGTGATCGCCTGCTGCAACTATGCTCAGACAATCGTTTATTTTTAGCAAGCACTAATTTTAAACATAAGGAGAGACACTGTCTAACATGGCAACCCACTGCATGGACTAAAATAGACCATATTGCCATCAGTCATCGTTGCAGAGACTCGACAGGAGACTGTCGCTCGTTCTGAAATACCTGTTTGGTGAATGCCATGAAAAAACTTGAGTGAAAAGTTAGGCAACTTCGAAGACGAGGCTGACCCATATGTTACTTGGGAGGATGTATGAACAGCTGTGGAAACAGCAGCGACATCTACCAGTGATTTGAACCAAAGGTTCAGGGAAAACCACTGAATTTCTGCTAAGTCTATTGCACTGATGGATTCTCGCCAACTCATCCCAACAGGCTCCGAACACGATGAAAAACGAAAAAAATCAGATTCAAACCAACCAAAAATCTAAGAAACGACAGAGAGCAGTGTTGGGAAGCGAAAGCAAAAGAGATGGGAAAAGCAGCGGCTGTAGGTAACACAAGACAGCTTTTCAGACTAATACAGGAAACCGAAATCAGAAATCAAGTGAGACGTTCTCGAACAAAAACGACTTATCTGGTCTCAGTTCAAACGTCTATGACGATGGACTGGACACTTTAAGGGGCAGTCCAGATGGCTTTCAGCTACTCTATAACTACCCACCATTCCCAAACAGCCTAAATGGAACATTGAATTAGGTCCCCGAATGTAGTTGAATTCAAAAGGCTATAGCTAATCTGAAATGAGGAAAAGCACCTGGTCCAGATGGATTGGCTCCAGAGGTCTAGTTTTAGCGATTAGGTTAACTAATATTTTAGCTAAAATCTAGGAGTTGAACGTAATCCTACCCGACTGATAGCAATCACTGATTTCCCAATATATAAGGGGTCAAAACCATCCTGTGATAACTATAGAGGGATTCGTTTGACTAACATAGCATCTAAAACACTAGCCTTAGTAATAATCGGACGCTTAACAAAGACTCGTGAACTTCAAACACGAAAGACTTAAGCCAGCTTCACACCTAGTCATGACTGCATCAGTCACATACTGTGGTAGTGCCTGTCATTGAACGGTGTACCTCTAAAGCACATAAACATTATGAGGGCTCTTTACTCGAACACTACCAGTCGAGTCAGAACTTATGGAAAACTGTCATCTGATCTTGCAACCTTAAGTGGTGTCCGGCAAGGCTGTCCACTATTCCCATTTGTTTAATTTTATCATAGACCTACTGTTGGAAACAACGTTCTCGCCGTCTGGATTTTCAGGAATTTATTTCCTACCAGAAGGTTTACTCATCGAGTTAGAATACGCAGATGACATAGTCCTATTTGGTGAAGACGCTGATAAATTGCAGTATTTTGGTAGCACTGAGCAATAATCCCAGAATATTTGGGATGCGTTTCTCCCCTCTAAATGCAAGTTGTTGCTTCGGGACTGGCTTGCGCCAACACCTGAACAAAGGATAGGGAGTGAAGTAGTCGAACGCGTCAACAACGTCGCTCAACTTGGAAGTCTGATCAACCCTAATGGGTTGGCGCTGTAGTGATCACAATCAAAAGAGCTCTAAATGGTCAGTCAAGCCGCCATCCAAAAAGATGTTACAGGTGATATTGAGAAATAAGAAGTGTAGGCGACTAAAAAAGTTGCTTATCAATTGAGATTCAGCTGCTTTCCTTTTTAATCCTTGGTTGGCTTCTAAGATGAATGATTACAAAACGGTTTTTTCATCTTGATAAACAAAACTAAAACATAAGTGCTTTACAGTGGATTGGAATATTTTCCAAGCATCCTGACACAACCGTTTAAACTCAATACTGCATCCACACTTATTAACATCTAACATAATAAGAGCTAGAGGAGTGAAAAGAAGAGCTTAGGAATATACTAATATATTGGTTTAAAATAGACCGTTTCCCCATCTAAAGTGGTTATCCGTCTGTAAATCACTGAACAGTTGTTGTTAATTTGGAAGCTTGTGCCAACCGTTTTAATTCGTTGATACAATGCGTCAGAGTGTCTTTTTCTTGGGCAGGAGTGATCCCTTTGACTACGTGATCTACAACCCAGTTCACCATATGTTGTTGAATGTAACGTTTTCGCGTATTTTCACGTTCAACGTGGTATTCCTATATAAAAGAATAATCAGAAATAACTCATTAGGAGAAATTCCGTAGGAAGCGTTACATTGTATGCATTCTTTTAATACACTACACGAATATAAGCAATTGAGTTCAATTTCACATCGATTAGAAATTTTCCTTCAGACAAACAAGAACCATGATAATAAATAGTATGACTCGTAAAAGAGAAATCACTAAGCAGACCAATTAGGTGTTATCATTAAAGTACTAGACTGATGTCTACCGTTCAACCATAATAAACATGATTTGTTACTGACGAACCTTTCGATAAACAGGAGTTGATGCTTCTGTTGTCTCCCATTATATACGGCAAGATTGCGGAAACTCATCGCGACCGCCACTATAAAACTTGGAATACCCACTACCTGGTAATAGTCTCAACAGATAAATTACGTCCAGTAACAGTGCCCAATTTGGCTTTTCGTCAACTTTGATCGCCACTTCATGGTTAGCAATCTGGATATGTTCAAGAGAAATGGAAGGATTGTCTTGGATGGGGGTTTTCAGTTATGATTGTCATATGAATAACTGGGGACTTACTAAGCGGCGATGCACTGTTCGGTATACACTTTGAAGGCGTTCACGATAAGTAGCTTCAAGTTGTAAGGCAATGTTTTCTTCCTTAGCACGTACATGTTCAGGAACAGCGGCCGCTCTTTCCACTTCTATTTCGCAAGTTTTTATTGTATTGTCTATATAACTTTTCACTTCGTTTATAGGCTGATGATACATCAAGTGTTCATCTTCCTAAGAACACGTTATACAAATATATCTGACTCACTTTCGCCCATTTTTCTACGATCTTTCTGGTACGAGCGCCAAATCTTTTGACAATCATGACACTCATAGACAAGAACACAAAAAATTCCACAAAGTGACCATCGAACACCCATATTTCTTTGTTGATTAAAAACATGAACGAACCAAACATGAACATATACGGCCCTCAAAAGTAGGAGGATTAATTCAAAGTTACCAGTGACACCGGTTTTGTTGTAAAATGGTTGAAACCAAGAGTCAGGAAACACACCCATTCTGACTTTGGGATGACAATGAGCTATTTTGAAAGTTGGGTAGTTCGAGAAATCACGTTCTTTGCCATAATATATTTCCTCGGCTTTGACCCACCTTGCGATGGAATTAGTTACATCCTGTTAATAAAATATTTCAATTAGACCCCACTTGTTCATATTGGTTTGCCATTGATTCTGCCTTCACAATAGGACCATCAGTAGATTGGTTAGGCTTTTGGGTGGCTCCTGCCACAGCACGTAAGTTTGAAAAAACTTGAAGGTTTCTAATATAAGCTCCATATTTACATGGAGAGCTTAAAACTAGTCAATTTGATAGAGTGAAAAGACGAAACTTACAGGAAGAACGAAACATTGCGCGTCTCCCGAGTCCGATTGTGAATGGTGCGCGCGACTTTAAACAAAGTCTTCAGTCTTCAGTCTTCAGTAATAAGGATAGTAGGTTGATGAACCTGTGTTAATCCTGACACATTGCTTTCCAGTGAAGGTCCAGCTTTTCCTTGAAAGTATTCACTGATGGGGCTGATACCACTTGTTCGGGTAAGGCGTTCCAATGATTGACTACTCGATGAGAAAAACGGGATCTCACTTTAAGTTTATTAGATCGTGGTTTATGAACCTTCTTGCTGTGACCTCGGAGATTATTAGTGCTGGAGGGAGCAAAAAGATAAGACATATTAACACCCAAATCATAATTAAAGATACAAAATGCCAGTATAAGGTCACCTCGTGTCCTATGATACGACAAGGGGAAAAGATTTAGGCGTTTTAAGCGCTCATCGTAAGGGAGACTAGAAAGACCCTTCACTAAATTCGTTCCCACACGCTGGACACGCTCAAGGGAGTTAGTATCCTTTACCAGACACGGGCTAGCTGCTTGGATACAGTACTCTAAATGTGGTCTAACATATATGGGGTATAAAATTCGAAACGTTTCCTCGTCAAAAGATTTGAACGCTCGGCGAAGTGACCATAACGCACGAAAACCTTTGACAGCGGCTGCTTTGCAATGTGTAGTTGTTTTTAAGTCATGACTTAATATTACTCCTAAGTCCTTATGCTCTTGAACGCATGGAAGAGGTTTACCCTCAATAGTGTAACGGTAACTATTACCGTGACCGACGTGCATTAGTACACTCTTCCTAGCATTAATTTCTAAGCCCCACTCTCGAGCCCATCTAACTAAATCGTCTAAATCAGCTTGAAGATCCACATGATCAGCCGCACTTTTTATTGTTCTCCAGATTTTTACATCATCTGCAAACAATAATGTCGACGACCTAAGTAACAGTGGTAACTCATTAACGTAGAGAAGGAAGAGCAGAGGGCCTAAGATGATGCCTTGGGGTACACCACTTTTGACCGGCTTCCAATCGGATAGCGTTCCATTGACCCTAACTCTCTGTCTGTGGTCACATAAGAAATTTCCTATCCACTCATGTACTGTACCTATTATTCCGAAGCTCGTGAGCTTCTGCATAAGACCTACGTGTGAAACCTTGTCAAACGCTTTGCTAAAATTTATGAATATCACGTCGACAGACAGACCGTGATCTAGGGCTGCTGTCCAATCTTCCCTCGCAATAAGCAAGTTAGTCAAGCATGAACGCTTGTTACGAAATCCGTGTTGCTCAGGAGCTAACAGATTGTGTAAATCTATGTGGCTTAGCAACCTAACCCGAATTATCTTTTCGAGTAACTTAACGACTATGCTAGTTAGACTGACAGGCGGGTAGTTAGATACTATCTGTCGCTGACCGTCCTTAAATATAGGACTAACTATAGCGTCCTTCCAATCTCTAGGGAGTTGGGCGAGTGAGAGGGACATGTTGAAGAGTGTCGCAAGCGGTTTCGAAATAATGTCCGCAAGAGATGACAGCAACCGTGGATGTAACCCGTCAGGGCCCGGTATCTTACCAGGTTTGATGTTAGTTATCAACGGAAGGACAGTTTCCTCAGTCACCTGTACGGATTCAATGGTTGGTATCTCGGTGTGAGTGGGACAAGTATTTGTTACAATAAACGTAGAGAAGACTTCGCTAAAATAATTTGAAAAAGTCTCAGCTTTTGCTCGATCTGATTCAGCTAGTAATTTTGAATTTTCGTGTAACAGCAACGGGGGAATACCATCACTACGTTTCATTTGCCGTTTAACATACGAAGACAATCGTTTCGGACAAGTACGGCTATCATATACTAACTGTCGTTCGTAAGTGGTACGGGATTTCGCTATGGTTTTCTTACAGATATTACGGTATTTTTGATACTCACGCTTAAATGTTGCATGACCTGTCAACAAGAATAAGTCCCAGAAATGTTTCCTACGCTTTAACAGCTTCCGGGTTTCCTTATTAATCCGTGATAGCTTACGTGCTGACCATGGGATAAACGGCGACGTTACGGACTCGAATGTAGCCTTAAACTTATTCCATTCATCTTCGATCAATCCATTCGCGTCGACCGACCAATCGGTCGAGATAGCACGGTTTCTGATTTCCGGAATATTAGCTCGCCAGATATTGGGACGGGGTGGGGCAGATACGAATTGTATACCATGTGTCCTAAACTTGAAGTGAATTACAACGTGATCACTGTTCACTAGTGGAGGAAGGTGCTGGATATCAAAGACATCCTCACAGTGGTGGGTGAGGGCGAGGTCCAGCAGTGACGGAACATGATGCAAATCAATATGTGTCGGTTTTGTGATACATTGTACAAGTGCACACTGAATAACGGTAGATAAAAGGTCGCTATCGAAACCGCTACCTGGAGCTGTGAGCTCTATCCAGTTGATATGCAGTGCGTTGAAGTCCCCAATGATGAGACAACATTCTGCCATACTCCAAGAACAGATGTGTCTTAGGATAAAGTCGTCAGCCAGACAAGACGGACTACGGTATATTCCCCCTATAGTCACTAACCCATTTCTAGATTTAATCTTACAACATGCAACCTCACATGTGCCACTGATATGATCCTCCGATATGGTTGATTGTATACGAAAGTGATCCCTAACGTAAAATATTATACCTCCCCCCTTGCGACTTGAAACTCTATCACTTCTGATACAGATATAACCAGCGATGAAAGGAGAACAGTCTATATCAACGGTGAACCAAGTTTCTGTAACAACGATTATATCGGGACATAATTCTTGCACCATCAGACTTAGCTCGGACGTTTTATTTCTAAGACTACGAGCGTTCGTGTAGCACACACTTAAGGTGTTTTGGAAATCAATCGTTCTACCCATACAGGCCTCGGAAGCATTGGCTCCCAAGACCTGACTACCCGAAAACCCTTAATGGTAAGGTTATTTTCGCCATTTAATTTGCGAGTCCTCAACTCCGTAAGAGCATTCTTCCACTTGATTCGATCCTCAAGCGGCCAATCTGGTCGAATACGGATATTTGAGGCACGAGTTTTTTGTACGTTTTTCAATAATATGTCTCTTTCTTCGAAACTCCCGAGAACCAGCTTCAGGATCCTTCTTGGTTGGGTCTCGCCTCCAACCCATTTATCAAGTCGTATTACTTTTGTAATATGTACCCCTGAAACCTCTTCAGGTAGTGCATTCCTGACCACAGACTCTACTAACTGTAGGTCATGTGCGTGTCTTTTAGCAGGGTCGTTGTCTTTCGACTCCTCTAGATTCCAAATAATTAAACTAGGGACGGGTTTAGCTTCTTTTGAAACTGTGTTCACAGCTTTCGACCGTGACGTTAGATCCTGTATTTTAACTACTGGTAGCTTACGATTAGTTTATATTTTAACAGAGTCCTGGGAGTCAAGCGAATGACTCACAACAATGTCAGACGAAGCTTTACTATGAGACTTTGGTGGATTGGTCTGAGAGTCCACCAAGGACTTATCAAGTAAACAGTCATTAGTTTTAGCTATCTTTCCTACTCTTCTGCGTTTTCGCGTCATCCATTTTCCATCAGTCGAAACGTCTACATTAGAACAACTCGGGACAGTAATTGTTTTATCTGGGTCACCGGTTGCTGCTGTAGCAATATGGCCACCAACGTCTAATGACGTGTCACTCACTGATCGTTTCGGGGGGAGATCGTTTAACTGTGGGTTACACAGGTAGATTTCTGGCTTGCGCCGTGATAGCACTTACGACACTAACGCAATCTTCGCCATCCGTACCAATGTTATCAGTACAGCCCTCATCAACCTTCTTATTAGCCAACACCAGGAGACTAATTGCTTCCTGGATAAGCAATGTTTTGCTCGAGCAACAAAAACTACAAAGCCGATGAGAGTTGGGCTTTGAACACCTTTTATATGCAGTGGGGCTTAATCGGGTGCACATCTTATGGAACCACTTATTACACTCATCACATTGCATCCCTTCATCCACGGGAAATAAGCAGTATGGTTGTCCACATTTATGAGTAGACCCAGCCATCTTGAAAATCAACTAGAACGGTGTGGCTTTCGTACTTGTTGTGAATTAACTTAGCTTTTCTGTATTCATCTCATTAAGAGTATACTTTTCTACTTTAGTTGAAGTTTGTTTAATTAAAGTTTGAAATTTTCCTCAAGTTTGTCCCACAGCACTCAGTTTTAGCTGATTTACACACCAGTCTCATGTGTATTTTTGTCAATCTTTCCCATTGAATCTGTCCACTTATAATTGTACATAAGCATTTTTTTTATTTTTTTGAATAAAGAAATGCGACTTGACAGGTTTAACAAATGAGTCCACAGGATATGTACTTGTTTGAAACCCATCGCAAACAAAATGTTTCTTGAGGCCCGAAACTCATTGGCATTCTGTGTTTTGCTGGTCAAGCGAGACATCACTGATCCAGCAGGAAACGGACCTCCTGGAGTTGACCAGCGATAAAGTTGATGGTAGCTACGCTGGTAACTTGAGTACTGACAACAAAGAGTGTGACATTGCAGTAATTGCCGTTAACGTAAAAGTCAAACACTAGAGTGCGAAACATGAAAACGAGAAATTTCCTTCGGAACAAAGATTTAAACATCACTGGATGTTGTTGGTCACGACTCTAAAGTCATACCTGACTACCAGGATAAGACCGTAACAGTTCCAACCCGTCGTGACATAGGTGTCTCTAGTGACGGGAAGTGGACAGAAGTGCAGAAACAAATGAGCAAAAGAAAAGAACCAACCCCTAAAACAACGTACGTATAGTTAATAAATCTTCAATAGGCTCTCGTGCTGAGTCAGACAATACTTCACCCAAGTTCCAAAGTAAGATTATACTTAACCCTAGCGTACCTAAAAAAACTTGATTTTATAGAATATTAATTCAAGTAATTTACAAGAACCAAACGCACATGACTTGAAAAAAGATTTTGGAAGGATAGTCGGTAGACAATCTAATTTGACATAACGCAATTACACCCTCGTTAAAAC